ACAATTTTTGTTAATCATGGCTGTTAGTGGCCGCAGCTCAATCGGTAGACAGGGATTGTAGGATTCGAATTTTGACAACTATGAGGAGAGATTATTATGCAAAAATGCGGGCTCTGCAAATACTTGGATCAGAACCTCACTCATAATCTGCTAGCTTGCGATTTAAGTCCAATTTACATCCTCCCAATTTACATTTTCAGGGATGAATTATCATCCTTTTTTTTGTTAACCACGCTTTGTTCTACATTATGTTGGTATATACTTTTAACTTAACCCTATTTTCTTAAGTAATTTTTTACATTGCACTATGTTGAAAAAAGACTCAATATTTTATGAGATTTTAAGCCTAATCGGATCCTACAATCCGATACAATAAGAGCCCGTTTGGTCGCACCAAAATCGGCTGTTTTGGCTGATTCTGCTGAAATTTATGATATTCTGGCTGGAGTGGCCGTTTTGGCTGATTCTGCTGATTTAAGAAAAAAATATTTTAAAAATATATTTTATGAATAAATTAAAGAAAAAATTATATGTAAAAATAGCTAAAATGGTCCTCTACAGTAACTTCAGCCAATACAGCCAGAAAAGTAACTCCAACCTTACTTTTTCGGCTTATTACACAATTCAGCGCGCGAAAGTAAAAGTTACGTGTTTGGTGAAAAAGCTGGCTGATAAGCCTGATAAGCCGAAAACAGAGTTCTCCAAACGGGCTCTAAGAATATCAATTGGTAAAAATGGTTTACTTATGATAGATAGAATGAAGAACAATGATGCTTCTCTTGCCATAATTGGAGAGCATCAAATTCGACATCATTATACTCATGCAAAATGGTTAACATACAGAAAGCTTTTTAATGGATTTGGAGTTTTCATAGGATTTATATTGGTACTAATGAAAAAGATTTTCCTATCTACCAATAGAAAAAGCCCTAAAAGTAGTATGAAATTCATTATGATATGTCTCGTTTGACCTGATTTTATGTTTGTTCTGTTATTTTGAAAACGAAAAACAAAATTATGAAAGTTAAGAAAAGTTGTTTTCATATTGTCGATGACAATTTTACAATCAACATGATTATAAGTACGATTTACTCATAATATATTGTCATAATAATATACTGCCACGAACGTTTTTTGATAGCATTAACAATGAATTTTGTTATCACTATTATTATTTCACGAAGATATATTATCAGTTTATGATGTACGAAGTTTGGTAGAGGTGGCAAGAGTAATTGATGCTGGTGGGAAGGTTGTGGATGGATAAAGCTTGATTGTGATGACCATTATTCTATTAACTCATTTTCTATTCTTTTCATTGGAAATCTTGTTATTGTTATTATTATTATATCAATAAAGGTAAATTCACTTCAAAAAAATTACGGGTTGACATGGAATTTGGCACGGATTTATTGATTTTTGGTGCCAAATAGCTCGTGCCAAAGTGTTTTTGGCACGGATTTGGCATATCCCTGCCAAATCCTTCTTTATTTTTTTCAAATCCCTGCCAAAATCACTGTCAATCCCGTGATTTTTTTGTAGTGATTATGCCATTAGCAGTATAGAAATTAAACATCTGTTTATTCTGTATTATGAAATACAGAGTATCAATTAGTTACCCATTAAAATTTGATAAGAACTAAGAAAAATATTGACCCTCAATTATAGTTTTTATCATGGTACTTGATTAAAGTTGTATATACACCCAAATATTCCATATATAGAATTAGGTTCAAGTGAGAAAATGATCTTAGGAGAGAAATGAGAATGAATCTGGACCGTTAGATTGTAATCTGTGAAATTGGATGTGCATTTAGTGAAACTGAAATGTGCATTATGTGAAATCGAAATGTGCAACATAAAAGGTAAGCTGAAATGTGCATTAGGTGAAACTGAAATGTGCAGAATAAAACTATGATGTGGTGGCATTTTTTTAGCCTTTTATTCTGCACATTTCAATTTCACGTAATGCACATTTGAGTTTTAATTTTTCATTTTGCACATTTCAGTTTCATTTAATGCACATTACAGTTTTACCAAATGCATAGTTCAATTTCACATATTATAATCCAACGGTCCAGATTCATTCTCATTTCTCTTCTGGGAGTCCTTTCTCACTGGAACCACTCCCTATATATATATATATATATATATATATATATATATATATATATATATATATATATATATATATATATATATATATATATATATTCTCTGTAAAGGGTTGTAAGAGTTCTAACCGTCATCACAAATTATACTCCGTATAACCATTAGAAACACCATATATTAATTATCTCTGTTAAATGGTAATTGTTTTTGTTATGAACTGATTACCTTTGAATGTTATCATTGTGTCGGTAATGAAATGATTTTTTTGATCAACTTTCTATATAGTGTTGATTGCATTTTGATGTTGTTTACTAACTTGATATTTGTTGAATTGAATTGGTAAAAGTTTTTTGTAAATAAAATACTAAAATGCAATGAACTTATTAATTTAGTAGTGATAATAATGATAAAAATAATAATAGCTCCTTTTTTTTAGACAAAAATAGGCCTACTTTTTGTCTTATGATCTCAATTGAAGTCGATGACGTCGACGAGGACTGCATGTGAAGACGTTGGCTACGACTTCCAATCGTCGATGATTACTATTTGGAGCCGATGCCACGGCCTGAGGTACCGCTATGGTTTCATGGACGTGCAATGGTGGTGAGTAGAGTTGCAAATACTACAAAAAAACAACGATTTCGGCACGGATTTGGCACGGATATGCCAAAATTCGTAGGATATTTGGAACGGATTTGGCACGGATGCGTTAAATCCGTGCCAAATTCCGTGCCAAAGTCGTTTTGTCACCAGCTATTTGGCACGACGCTGTGCCAAAAATAAGTTACAGTCCGTGCCAAAGTCGCCCAATCCGTGCCAAGTCCGTGCCTATTTCGATATTTTTTTGTAGTGAAAGTAGCAACGACACAGGGAGGGTTGTAGGGTTATCGCCAGCCGCGGCTAGGTTGCGGGGTCGGGGGCAGATGCAGCTCAGGAGGTTGGCCAATGGGGAGGCGGTTGGGGTTGGGGAGGGGAATAAGTACGCAGAGGGAGGCTAGAGAGGTGGGTGGGGAGGGGGAGGCAGCCACACGACAATCAAAGGCGGGAGGCACAACGTAGCATAATGCAGGCGACTGAAGGGGGTCGAGAAGGGAAGATAGCTGGGAAGGGGATGGGGAGGGGCGATAGGGAGGGGGATGGACCTGGGGAGGGGGATATGGGTGGTGTCAACCACCGGGGCCGATAGCTGCGATGACGGTGGAGCGGAGTATCAGCGACGGCTAGACAAAAGTGTCATTGGATGGAGAAAAATGAAAATAAGTAACTGGGGCGGTGGTCACTATCGAGATGGTCACCGGCCAAGGTAGTGGCCATTGTGACCGACAGAGTGACGTGATTACTTTTACCGCAATTGTGATGATTGTGACCGCGGAGGCAGTCATTGATACATTGTGGTCACTGGCATGTGATGCTCAAATGGTCAATGAGGCATGGATTACTGCATGATGGAGTCACTATGGCGTTGATCACTCTAGCGATGGACCAAGTAGGAAAGAGTGTAATGATCCTCTTAATTGTCTTTAGTCTCATTTTCGGAAACTTAATGTTAAAGTCCCACACCGAAAAGTTTGAATCAACAAAGTGCTATGTTAAGATATGTGCTACTCCTCCTAACAAGGTTGACCTTTTAGGATGGAACCCCAAATCTTAACACTTAACAAACATTTTTTGTCCATTAATTAATTTAGTTATATTCTATCTTGATGAATCTTTCTGTCAGGTCGGCCTCATAGCAATCGTCATCCCGCCACCTTCATTTGAGGTGCCTCTGTTAATTTTTTATGAAATTTTGTGAACACGTTCTTCATTAAATGTAGATTTTGTCTACAAATTTTATCTTGAAATTTAATCGTGAAGTTAGTTATATAAATTAACGAAAAATACCGCACATTTTATATACCCCCTCCGGCCCTAAATAAACTTCACACTTTCCCTTTTGGGCAAGTCTAAAATAAACTTCACACTTCTATTTTTGGTAAGTTTTTAATATAAAATTATCCTTGATACGGTGATACCCTTACTGTATTGTCTACTTTACACCCACTTTCTCTCTTCCACTACATCTAATCTACTTATTAGGGGGCATGATGAGAAAGTCAAAAGCAAAAATTTCACTTTCTTAAAAAACATAAAGTCAAAGTGTGAAGTTTATTTAGGGACGGAGAGAGTATATTTTAGCGCAATATTTTTCGACAATTTATTTAACTTACTTTTTGATTGAATTTTAAGCTGGAATTTAGTGAATATAATCTAAAACTTTATAAATAACAAGCTCACAAAATTTTATCAAAAAATTTAGACGGAAGCCACTCAAATAAAGGTGATTGGCGATTTTTCCTGTGGGACCATTCTTATAGGTCAGTCATTCTATCTTAGGAAAAAGTTGTTTGTGCACATTTTTTGTAGACAGTCATTCTATCTTAGGAAAAAGCCGCTCGTGCACATGCTTTGTAGACACCCCTAGTTGTCTGTGCACACAGACAATTTGTTCAGAAGCTACACGTGTACCTAGACAACTAGACGTGTGTACGCAAAATGTGTACAAATAATATACAAGTAGCAGGGCTCTCTATCTTAATACGGAGTACAAATGAACTTGAAAAAGGTTACGGAGTATGAGATATTACCCAAAATGGGACTAAAAAGGTTTGAAAATTCCAAAATATGACTTCCATGTTTTTATTCCCAAAATAGGACTAATTACTGCCATGTTTAGGCACTACCAGACTTCAAACATAACAGTATTTTCCAAATTTGGCAGTAATTAGTCCTATTTTGAGAATAAAAACATGACAGTCCTATTTTGGAATTTTTGAACTTTTTTAGTCCCATTTCGAGAACTTTCCCTACGGAGTATTTATAAACATTGTACACATTTCTTTTACACACCCTCACAGCCAAATTGCATGCGTTCAAAAGCTCTTATGTACAGACATTTACGGAGGATTGTGTACAAGAAAGTTGTACTGCCAAGTGCCACCGCCCAATACCCATGGAACTACTTTAGATCGTCATCCTATAATCTCTGCTAGCTCACGTGAGTCTCCTCCGAAGCTTTTGGCGGTCTGATACTCTCTGCTTCCTCGCAGTTGAACTTACCTCCCAGATCCGGATCACTTCGAATTTTTTGTCGCTGCAAATGTCTGATTGAAGTGCAGATCGTGATAGTTTGATTGGAAGTCCATTCTTTAAATTGGCAGTGTTTCTCTTCTTCAATTGATCACAAGATTCATAGTGGGAATATTATCGGTGTGAATAAAATCGATTACTGTTGAACTAGTTGTTCCGAAATGGAAGCTTCTATTGGGTTGAGTCCATCCACAACAGCAAACCCGATGGACTTAGACTCAGATCTTCAAAGTTTCCAATTGGAAGTAGCTAAAGAAGGTTCAAGATTCGATCATGATTTCCATTCCATGAGCCCGCTTGAAATTCTGAGAGAAACAGTGTGGATTCTCCGGTACAATTCGACCGGGTTGTTATCTATAATGGCGTTGTTGATTTTCCCAGTGTCTGCCTTGCTTTTGTCGAATGTCTTGGTGAATCAGTCCCTTGTGAAGAAACTGACAGCAAGGATTTTGTTGGGTTTGAGATCTAGTGGAATTTCACTCAAGCCTTTCATCGAACAGCTTGTTCACAAGTTCTCGGAAATGGTGGTAGCAACTGCAGTGTCTTTCCCTCTATGCGCTACATCCTTATTGCTCTCTAAAGCTGCCATTATTTACTCAGTGAGTTGTACTTACTCACGTGAACATTTTGATGCTTTAAAGTTCTATGTGATAATTACCAAGATTTGGAAGCGAATCGTCTTCACTTATTTATGGGTATGCACTGCTATTTCTGGCTGTTTCACTTTGTTCATTGTGATCCTGGTTGCTATTACCGCCTTGTTTTCAATATCAGGATTCCCTTCAAATTCAATCTTATACTCTTCCATTGTACTCATGGCGATCTTCTCAATTATAATAGCCAATTGCATAGTTATTTGCAACATTGCTATTGTTATTTCAGTGTTGGAAGATGTGTCAGGCCTACAAGCATTGCTCAAGTCCAATTGCCTCATCAAAGGGAAAACAAGGGTTGGTGTCCTTATGTTTTTTGGAATGATCATTGGGATGGCATTTGTGAAGGGCTTGTTTGAGCATAGGGTGAAGACTCTTAGCTATGGGGATGGATCTTCGAGGTTATGGGAAGGCCCACTTTTGGTGATAATGCACTCGTTTTTGCTGCTTTTGGATTCTATGATGTTTACGGTTCTCTACTTTACCTGTAAATCTGGTAGAATAGTAGAAGCACGTAATGAAGAGAGTCAACCAATATTGGAAGCCACAAAGTATCCATCAACTTCATCTGAAGCTCAATGAACTTTGTCTGTGAACAGAAGTGATGTGCACTGATTATGACTAGCAAAGCTATTTGAAGGTTGTTAAGTGTATGGATCCGTCGTATAAAAGTTGCAATATTTTATTGGTTATATCAATTCTTTTGAGAAAATATGTAAGTGGTGCAGGGCAAGGTTTTCTATGGAGAGAACTGCCCTTTGTAGAAAGTTTCAATCTGTATTCAGCATTTGAATAATATATCTCTACTTGGGATTGAAATTGAGATTAGATTTAGTGGGATGGTACATGGACAATTGTTATCTACGTGATGCCAGCCTTGCTGAAAAATGTTGGATTTATGAGAAAATTGTTCTTTCCACTTTCCGGCTAGGAAGATTGAAGGTCATGCAAATATATAAGGGTTGATTTGCAACTACTTTTAAAAAAGCACTTCTCAGCTTTTGGCTTTAAAAAAGCACTTATTTTCCCAAACACTACACTTTTATTTTTCTCGGCTTCCGCGTCAAAAGTGCTTTTACTTTTTCTATTACACAAAAAGCACTTATTTTACAAAACACTACCCACTTTTACTTTTCAAAATCACTTTTTTCTCAAACCCTATCAACTTTTATTAAATCTCTTTTCTCCATTTCATTAAAAAAACACTTTTTTAAAAGTAGAAGCTGTTGCAAACAGACCCTAAAAATCATGTCTTAAGTAAGCTTCAAAAGTTAAATTTGACAGCATGAATATGACTGACATTTAACACATTCAGGCATTTCAGCCGAACAACCCGAACTTCTGAGTTTAAATGCAAAATTGTTTGTTCTCCCTTGGTACAGATTACTTCTTTGTTTTTCCACACGTTATATTTGCACAGGTTTGTGCCCAAGATTTCAAGTATCTATTTGCTGAACAATTATTTGTCAATAGATGTTGTCTACTGAAACTGTTAAGAACCGGGCTGGAAATGGACCAAACAGATTCTTAACAAGATATCCTTAATCATGGGTGCTAAACAAGCAGTCAAACCACATCCGGAATTGGCTCTGATACCATGTTAAGACCCGGGATTCCATCCTAAAAGGTCAACCTGATAGGAGGAGTAACTCAAAGCCTTATATAGTATTTTACTACGTATTGTTTTATAGCTTTCCGGTGTGGGACAAATACTTCAACAGAAACCAATATAAGATGTCTTTTTGTTGTTGAATGTGGAACTTAATTTAAGGTTATGATATTAATAATCATCTTGCAAGTTGCAATGCTTACATTGTGCTTCTGTGTTTGTATTAATTTACTTTGGTGGTGAGCTACTTTCCAGGCCTTTTAAAAGCTTCCCTTGGAGCAAAGTAAGGCAATTGTGTATTTGTATTTGAAGTCTAATAATATCTATTGCACAAGTATGCTTCCCGCATGTTATTTTGGTGGAGTTTGTTTGAGATGGAATTTGTTTACGGTTCAGATTAGGTAAAAGGATCAAATTAGACACTAACCTTTTATCAGTTATATGTCAAGCTCAATTTAGACTACATTAAGGTGATTTTAAACCAAAAACCCATCAATTTAACTTTTTGAGATTGAAATATATTAATGAAAAAGAAAAGCACACAACAAAAATAAATAGGGCCCATGTATGCTTTTCTTTCACTTCCTAGGCAGAAATATCTCAAGTTAATACTTGAAATAGTTTTGGCCTTAGACTCATAGACTACTCCCTCCGTTCCAGAAAATTCTTCTCAGTTTGACTTGGATCGGAGTTTTAGAAAGTGGGAATAAAGTGGAAATATGTGATTGTGGTTGAGTTAGAAAAAGGTAAATGAATGGTGGCCACACAAACCTTTCCAAAAAGGGAAACACAAAGAATTTTTTGGGACAGTCCAAAATGGTAAGTGGGAAGAATTTTATGGGAGGGGGTAGTATTAATTTGGTTAGCTTTGGTCCTTAACTTTCAATTCATTACCAAGTTTAGTCCTCCATCATTTTATTTTAGGAAAAATGACAAGAATAGTACATCTACAACCTTGGAAGACATAAATATGATTAAATTTCATTTTTTTAAATGTGATTAAACTTTATTTAATTAATATATTTTTCTTTTAATTATAATTCTTACTCAACTACACATCCTTCCCCACTGCTAGCTCCTTAGCAGCTGCATCTGCCGGCGATTGTTGCTGAAAACCGTTGCAGTAAGAAAATATCACTAGTGAAAATTATTTCACTAGGTTTTTTATATTTTCATTGGAAATTTTTTCCAACTGTCCCAATGACATGTTAGGAAATAGTTAATTGGACAAACCCATCTTAGTTGGAAAATTTTTATTAATATATCTACTAACAAAATAAACAATCTCATATAAAAATGTTACGTACTACCTCCGTCCTACTAAGATTGGGACGGGAAAAGGTGACACGATTATTAAGAAAAGTGGGTTTGTGTGGTTGATATTAAATTGATAAAGTAAGAATAAAGTAAGAACGGTTTAGAGCCACACAATCTTTACCAAATTTGGTATGAGACAATCTTAGTGGGACTTCCCGAAAAGGTAAAATGAGACAATCTTAGCGGGACGGAAGGAGTAGTACTTAATTCAAATATATATCATCATAGTATTTTTCGGCGAAAATGTTACACCTTAATCCATATAGGATTCAAGGTGGAAAGAATTTCGGCAAAAATTCAAAAAAAAAAACTCGGTGAAAATTTCCGGTGATAGTGGTTCCGAAAATCAACCGCTGATTGATGCGACTCGAGCGAACTGTGGGACAGGGGAAATGGAGGGTAGCTAAGTAGGAATTAAAATTAAAAAAAGTACTCTGTATACTAACTAAATAAAGTTAATCACATTTTGGAAAAATAAAAACTAGTCTTATTTTTATCTTTCAAAGATATAGAGGTACTATTTTTGTTATATATCCTAGAATAAATAATAGGGGACTACATTTGGTAGAGACTTGAAAATCGAGGATCAAAGCAAACCAAATTAATAGTCTAGGACTAAATTGGGTATTGACAAAATACTCTGGGACTATTTATGGTATTAACTCAAAATATCTCACTAGAAGACTGCAACAAAAACCGTAGTAGAGACCCAGGGGGCTATCGCCCTCCCAACAAAATAATTTTTTAGGGTGTGTGTGTGTGTGTGTATATATATATATATATATATATATATATATATATATACACGAAGAATAATTTTCACCCTCCCAAAAAATATTTTATTTAAATTACCGCCCTCCCAAGATGAATTTCCTGGGTCCGCCCCTGACAATGACCCATAATGAGAGTTAATATGGAGTGGTTTTTCCATCCTTTGGGGTGACATATCTTTCTTTTTAATGTTTCTATAATTTTAATTGGACTGGAACTTTCTAATTTGATCTGGTCTAGTCTAAATTTGTCCAATTAATGTCTTTTTTTAGTATTAAATCTGACTTGGTCTGATATGTTCAAATCTGGTGTGATCTGGCCAAGTCCGATTTGGGTTGAAACTAGTCCAATTAAAAACATCCTCAATATTGATGTTGTATGGAAGAGTGATACCGATGGTCTGGGATGGGTGGTAAGGTACTGTGCAGGTTCCTTTGTTGTAGGAGTGTTAACTATGGCCCGAGCGTTGCCGTCCCAGACCATTTGTAGTGGTAGAGGCCAAAATGTTAAAAATGGACTCCATTCATATGAAAACAGTGTTTAGACTCTTATTTCCCTGCATCTTAGCACCGTCAATAAAACACATTCAACATATTTTTTACATACCATTTTAGTAAAACATTAATTAAATTATTGTAAGCAATGTTTTCCTTTTAATTTCCCCCCAGAATAATTATGAAATATAAAATACATATTTCGATGTAAAAATAAATATATTCCATTAAATTATTTTAACGTTTTTCAGTTACCAAAAAAATAACTTAGTTCAAGTAAAGCTCGATTATGGAATATTTAGTTATTTGTGAAGATCCCATGAATTAAAAATTTGTGTTTCGTATTTTTTTGGGCTCAAGAAAACTTCAACAGTTAAATACTTCAGATCTTATTTGCATTTTATATATTACATATATTGGTGTCATATGAAAGATAATAATAAATAGTTATGAATTTTGATATATTGTTTTAAAAAATTGGAGAACAAATAAAAATGTTATATAAATTTTAAAAATTGGGATATTATGATGCCGTCAGCATGACATCATCCGCATGAATAAACATGGTAGCCGACTCTTTCTTTTATTTTTTTCCCTATTTTTTCTTTTTCCACTCCTCTTAATCCCCTCCATCCCCTTTCCCACTTTTAATACCTTTGTAAACTCCTACTACACACAATTAGGAGTCCAAAAGCTCCACATATAGTTTTTGGACCCCTAAATATCTCACTACTCCAAATAGTCTCAGGAAGTGAAAGTTGTGTCCTTGAGATAGACTCTTAGCTCACTCAAGGAGGCACATTAGGATTTTATTGATTAAAGCTGGTTTTGATGTAGTATTATGTGTTATTATTGACGATATTATAGACGTATCTTTTAATTTTACAAAGTTTTATTTTATCTTATGTGAAGTAACTTGCGAACTAAAGATGTTTTTAATTGAATTGCTCTCACCTGTAGACAAGACTAGTCTAAGAGAGGCCAAATTAGACTTAAACATGTCTGAACAGATTTAAACAAATTAGGCAAATCAGACCAAACCATACGTTGACAGTTGCAAAACACAATAGAATAGATATCTATCAGACCTAACCCGCTGTGGGCAGGTTGCCGGGGGCGGATCTGAGGGAGATACTGATGGTGACAGAGGCGGGGGTGGGCGGGGATTGGTGCCAAGAGCAAAACGAGAGCTGCTACTGGAGCCAGACGTGCTGCACCGGCTACTGCAGCGCCTGGACCGACGGCACCTGCATCTGCGTCGGAGAAGGCGGCCAGTGTGGGCTGCAGCACGGCTGTTGCGCCAACTACTACTGCGACGGCAACTTTTCCGGCACCTGCATTTCACGCGCTCAGGGCTAGCGCCGCCCGCTCATTCAGGCCCGCATCATTCCGTGCCGGCATGATCAATAATTACATACGCCTGTCCTCCGTATGTATGAATCAATAAAATTGAAACCCGTCGGGTCGAGTTGAACAGCCTAGCTAGCTAGCTTTTGGCATGCAATTTGGCCGGCGGTTTAATTAGTTGTTATTTACTCTCTTTGTGCCGTCTGTGACTGTTGTCATCCATTTCTTGTTTTCGTTCCTATTGATTAATGTTGTCCGTCTTCCTCAAAAAAAAAAAAAAAAAAAAAAAAAATCTATCAGACCTAACCAAACCAGACTAATTCAAATAAAACCAGATTTTTACATATAAGACTATACCAAACCAAAAATTTAAATTCAATAAAAAATCATCGTGAGGTATTCACGGTTTAAAGAGAAATGTTGTTTCTATGGATGTTTTACGTAGATTGAAATTTGCTTTTCTGGTCTGGTGTGGCCTATTTAATTCTGGTTTGATCTGGTCTGAACTGGTCTGGAAAATATTAGATCTCTGTGTATTTTATAACTATGAAACTCTAATCCGATATGATGTATTAAAGTCTGATATGGTCTGATCAGGAAATGAATGTATTCCAAGTAAAAACATCTTAATTCCTATGCGTGTCTACACATTTAGATTTTTCAGCTATTCACTCTTAAATTACAACCAGCCTAATGCGTAAGCCGTAAGGCCATAAGCATGTTTTTACTTGGATTGTAATCCATCCTAGACTAGACAAGACCAGACTAGACTTGAATAGTTATAAAAATAAAAAGAAACCAGACCAGCAAATTACAGTCCAAGTAAAAACATAAGTTCTCTTTCCCTCCCTAAGATTGGCCGTGAGTGCGTGGAATGATCCAAATTAGCATATTTTCAGAATTAAAAGCTGTTTGGTGAATTAGTGAAAGTCTGCCTGAAGTGATTGCATCAGTCTAATTATGAAAAAAGTTAAAATATATTTTCTTAATAAAATAAAGAAAAAACGATATGGATAATGTAGAGTAATTAAAATAGTCATCCTCACCAAATTCAAATAGTAAGGCAGCTTTAACTTTAAAGAGATTTCCCAAAATAGAAGTAATTGGAGTTTGAAATTCCAAAATAGGACTACTATGTTTTTATTCCCGAAATAGGATTAACATCACAATATTTACTGTCGTCTTGTAGGCGTGACTGCCAAATTGTTGCAGTACAATGCATTTAACATGACAATATTTATTGTAATTAATGACAATATTTTTCAATCATGGTAGTATTTTTCGATGATGGCAGTATTTTTCATACATGACAATAACAACTCCTATTTCGGGAAGAAACATATAGTAGTCCAATTTTGAAACTGCAAACCGCATTTACTCATATTTAAGGCAATTTCCTTTAACTTTACTTAATTTGTTTATTACACAATTGAACGAACCATATCAAAAGTTTATACGGCGTAATTCATAAATAATGCGGGAGAACTACCAAATAAGCCTTCGAACTTACATAAAAAGTGCAAATCACCCCTTATATAGGAGGCTCTGTCCGACCGTCTCAATTTGGGGCGGTTCCAAGTGGATTTTTTTGATGAAATTTTTTGAGTATCTTATTTATTAAGTCTAGTTTACTCATACCAATTTTCAGCTAAAAATTCAATCAGGAAAGCAGTCAAATTATTTTCTGAAATATATTGCATTGTTTAACTGCACAGTTATCTTCAAAAATTCATTTGACTGCCTTCTCGATTGATTTTTTATCTGAAATTTGGTATGAGTAAACTAGACTTAATGAATAAGATGCTAAAAAAATCATCAAAAAAATCCACCGAGAACCGCCACAAATGGCGACGGCCAGACAGAGCCTCCTATATAAGGGGTGATTTGCATTTTTTATGTAAATTTGAGGGCTTATTGATAGTTCTATAATGCTGATCTCTGCTAGTTTATTCGCGTATAATTCGCTTATAATACACTCAAACGTATAATTCACGTATAATACTCCCGTTTATGAATTTTTAAAAATATTCTGAAAAATTCACGTACTTTAAGGATAAAATGTATATACACGTACCGTACGTATTGATATGAATTTTATATTCACGAAAAAAAAAGAATAATACTCATGTTTATGATTTTTTCAGAAAATTCTGAAAAACTCACGTACTTTAAGGATAAAATGTATAACACACGTACTATATGTATTGATACGTATTTTATTCAAAAACACACACACCACTAAGCGAATGCCTAATGGAGTGATACAACTGAAACGAAATGTCTAGCTGCTCAATATTATTTATATTGCTTAGAAAAACTTTATGCCTTATATGTTCGTTAATTGTTTAATAGTCATTACATTTAATAAATGAGCTTCTTAAATTCATAATCTATTTCGATATTACTATTGTACTATTATTGTATTACTTCTGTTCTCCACCCATACCAAGATTCCAAAGAGATCGAAAAATGTTGTGGCGGCTCACCAAACTCACGATCATAGTAATATCAACTATTCAAATACGTATGTATTAAAAAACTATTTCGTACATTTTAAATTCTTGAAGAATGTGGTGGAAAAGTTAAATAACTCTTTATTTCTATCATTAAATTAGTATATAAAACACATATTATATGTCGTATTTTTAAATTGTGAAACGTTTAAAACACGCCCGTGTCTTTATATATTTCACGAACGTATGAAATATATAATAAGACGTATTTTATATAATGATATCGTATTATACACGAACGTACATATTATTGTATTATTCACGAACCGTATATTACTAACAAAGATGATGATGAACTAAAAAAACTAGGCAAGAGGTGAGAGCAGGAGGCTTTTTTTAACAGGAAAGCTATGATACACGGGCCATTAGGCCATAGACCTTTTCCATTTATGTGTATATCGGAGTAGTATTTAGTACTCCGTACATAGTACTACTTTTTTTGTCAGACTATATTCTACTGCTACTAGCCTACTAGGAGTACTTCGTACTACTATACATCCTAAAAAAAAACAAAAATGCCAGAGGTACATGGTTTGTACACAACTTGTACATGATATAAATACCTCATAATTTTTACCATTTCATTTTTGTTTTTTACCCTCTTCCTCTCTCCCCTCTTTTCTTCTCCTATTTCTTCTCTGCGCCTTTCCGGTAGCTTTTCTCCCATAGCCTCACTTTCTCGTTTCTTTCTTCTTCTTCATTTTCATTGCAATCATTCTCCACATTTAATAGTCACAAGCCATATAATTGTTTCTATGGTTGATCATAATTGAATAGGTAGCGCCGCAGACCTTGAAGCCTTTGCCGCCTGGATGTTGCCGCGACCTAGAAGTTACAGTGCCGGCCACCTACGAGCGAGTCTGAAATGGAGGATTGATTTCCAACCTGGTAAATTCCCTCCAACCCATTGCCACCATTGTATTCATTTCTTCTTTCAATCTAACCCCCTTAAGCCTAACTAATTAGAATCCTGACTCATTAGACAATAATTTCTCCCCTTTTCATTATTCTAATTTAGGGTTTTAACTTTAAATTTTTATTCTTTTTAATTTTATGTTTTATTGATATCTTAACATTGCATTAATTGAGACTAATAATACTCTTGTGTGTTTGTATTTTAACATTTTCATGTGTGCTCGTTTTTAACACTTTGTATGCACATAAGGTAGTAAAATGCCTTTTTAATTCATAATAACCATATAAAGCATATTCAGGTTATCTCAATCTAAGACCAAGAGTGGAAGAATGCATCTGTCAAGTCTTAACTCACATCTTAGTATACACAATAAAAAGAATTATGCAAAAACCAGACTTATACTGCTTCTTGGTTTCATATTGTGTTTTTATTTTGTACTTTACTATTTAGTATATTTAACCCGGACTTAAAGGATGATCTGCTTCTTTATAATTGTCATTGAGTGAATGTTTGTATAATCTGTGTTTTGTTATAGTGCTTTTCTAATTTTGCTTGCTTCAGAACCTCTTTATAATTACCTAGATAATCTCTTGTCTTTGAAGGGGCATAAACTTCATATGTGAGTTTCTGGACTTCATAAGTGAGTTTTATGGTGCTATACTAGGCTGATGGTTTTTCTTTTGCAGAGAGAATTAAGAACTACGTGGTTGTGCTGTGGAGGCTTGGATGGATCATCCACAAGACAAACGTGTTGATAAAACATGCATTACTTTAAATTTCGCACCGATCTATGAACTAATAAAGAAAAAGTTAGACTAGATGACTTTGCTTTCTGTAATCAAACTTTGACCTTTGTGTAATTATTAGTTGTAATTACATGCACTTCTTGATTTTAGTTTTTTTACTTTGTAATTAAATTTTAATCTTGTTGGTTGGCACTTGGTCATATTCTACTTCCAAGGGCTATTTGTAATTAAATGGTATTGTTTGTGAACCATACATGATGTGTCTGGCAATAGGCAATAGCTATTAGAGTGGGCTAATGTGCTACACGGAATTGTCTGTGAATCAGGCATGAAGTGTCTGGTTAGAGACAACAACCACTACAATGGGCAAATGTGCTGCATACAAATGTCTATGAACGTGATACGTAGTGTCTGGCCACTAGAATGGGTTAATGGGTTAATATGTTAAGTGGAATTGTCTGTGAACTAGACATGAAATGTCTGGTTACAGACAATGCACACTGGAACAGACTAATGCACTAAGTAGAAATGTTTGTGAACCTGATATTAAGTGTCTGGTCACAAACAATAACCACTGTAATGGACTAATAACCTAATGAGCTAAGTGGAATTGTCTGTGAACTAGACATGAAATGTCCGGCCACATGCAATACCCACTGGAACGGGCAAATGTTCTAATGAGCGGACCTATTGTACTAAGTGAAAGTGTCTGTGAACGTAATATGAAGTGTCTGGCCACAAACAATAGCCTCTTAATTGGGCTAATGTGCTAAGTGGAATTGTCTGTGAAACCGACACGAAATATCCGGCCACAGGCAATAGTCACTGGAACATAAAAATGTGCTAATTGGAATTGTCTGTGAACGCGACTTGAAGTGTCCGGTTACAAACAATAGTCATCGAAACATGTATTTGATTCTTAATTGAAATGAAAAGTGCTCCAACAGAGAACAAACATTATTATTTACAACCCAAATGTCATATACAATCCAACATCTCAAATCTCAATGCCAACTAATCCAAAAGAAACAAACAATATCATTTACAAGCCAAATGTCAACACATTCTAACATTCCAATGCCGACTAATCTACATTAACCAGTTGGCAATCTTCTTCATAAGACCATCATCTTCACAAGACCATCATGTTCCTTTCGCCATACCTTGGCAATTGCAAGGACCAATAAGTTTGTCAAACTTTTGTTAATCCCATGTCTGCAAAACTCACATGATATATAGAAATAGCTATGTAGAGATGATCATTAATAACGAAGTATTCAAACAATGATTATAATAATATTACAAAACTGATAAGAACGATACTAAACCATACAAAAAAGAAAGCTTTTATAGCACTCATTAAATAAATAGATAATATAATATCTATACTTTAATTTAAAGTCATAGTGAAGAGCATAATTTGAATGTAGATGCAATCAACTTCCTGGAGTAGCTTAGAAAACCATCTTCCATTTTGTCTGGTCACAAACAAAACTACATGTGTATAAAGTTATGTAAAAAGAGACCATGTATGCTCTTAACTATTTTGCAACATCTGTTTGAAAATAATGCACACCTGCATCACAAAGAAAGTGATTCTTAATATAAGAAAACAATGGAAATATAATGCTCTTTATTGACAGAGACCAATTTGTTTTCTCTACTTTAAGTTGGAAAGAGACCATAGTAGGATGCTACTAATAAGAATTGTGAAACTTGTAAAAACGAAACTAAAACTAGTTAACAAAAAAGCCCTATGTTGAAGCAAATTCAAAGAAGAACAAATTAACTAATTAATTGGCGGGCATGCCAAAAACATTCATGTGATACTTTCCTCCAAAGTGCAAAATACCATTACTATCTACACATATATACAAAAAATGAAGTTCTAAGACATAATTATTTTCTAAGGTCATAGGAAAAATCTTAAAATCAATGTTTTAATGGACCTTAATCGTTATTTTTGCTCTGAATGTATAAGTGTTGCTAAGATAGGATGTGCATGAAAAAAAAACACCTTTTATCTAAATATATCACTTTTAATGTAAGAACATGTTTTCAAAAATGGCTGGCTTCACTCCTTCTTGTAGCATATTTAAGCAAATAATTCATTGAGTCATTTTAACAAACATGTCATGAGCATTGAATTAAATAGAGTAATTGGACTAAAATTTCAATAGTTAACACCACAATATCTTACAATAGAACAAAATAGTCAATTGTTTAATGCTATAAGATACAAATATATATATATATATACATAATCAGGAAAAATAAATAAATCTCATAGATGCACAAGAAAAATCGGAATAGATTATTACCTCATTAATAATACTTTTATGAAAAATGGTCCATCATTGAGAGAATACTTCATCACAATATTGTATAAGCTAACTAATTTAGAAGATAGAAGGGAAATGGTGGACAAAAAAGAGAAAAAGAGATAAAGAAATAGCTGGGGGCGAAGGAGGAGAATAGGAGCACGATACTTCTTTGGAGATGGAAAAGGGTTTGGGAAAGAGAGAGGGGGGTTGGGTGGGAAGGGGAAAATCAAGAAAAAGGAAAGGTAAAAATTAAATTGGGGTTTTTATATGGTGTATTGTTTGTGTACAACATATGTACACTAAGCATTTCTCAAAAAAAAATTAGAAAAATGCTAGGGGTACACAAGTTGTACACAATTTGTACACACAATGTCGGTCACAGACATTTGGTACGGAGTTTCCTGTGACCATAGACAAGAGTTGTCTGTGTACACGGACAAATTTTGTCTGTTTCCACAGACATTTACTTTTTTCTAAAAAGTACTTGTTAGTGTCAGGCGGCTCTCAGTGTACTTTTTACAAAAAAGTAAATGTCTGTGGAAACAGACAAAATTTGTCTGTGTACACAGACAACTTTTGTCTGTGGTCACAGACAACTCCGTACCAATTGTCTGTGACCGACATTGTGTGTACAAGTTGTGTACAACTTGTGTACCCCTAGCATTTTCCATAAGATTAACACAATCAAATATGCTTGGGTACATAAACTGTACACAAATTGTACATAATATATTACACTATGAAAACAACATTAATTGTCTACATTTGCCATACTTTAAATTTTGTCTAGCGAAAAGACAACTAAAAAAGTGAAAAGTATCACAAAGTAAACACTAACAAAAAACTAATACACAAGTCCGTATCAAAATAGTCTTTATTGCTTCATTCCTATTCCACCAGCTTTCATAATAGAGGTTCAAGCTTCTAACCCAATTGGCTTCTTCACTCGCCAACATCATTTGTATGGTACGAAGCTCCTGCATTACACAAGTGGATAAATAATCAATAAGCAATCCAATCAACTTAATACATTCCTACTCAATGAATAAACAAAAATTGAATGCTCTATTTTTCAATAGTTAAACTCTTGTTGTAATTTATTACATGTAAACCTATACAAATGAGTAGCACTGGACCAGAACATCTAAATTAACCTCAATGCATACACGATAGTATCATAAAGGTTCAACCATTCCACTCTATAAAAAATCTTATTGGATCAAGCAAGGTACTTTAAAAGCTAAGAGAAAAGTCAGTGAGCATTAAGCAAGCACATAAGATTTCTAACATTTTTTTCCCTGTAATCAGCTTTATCATATCTCAGAATTTGGCGTGAGGTTTTGTCTTTGTTGTTAAAAAGAAAAACCAAGAAGATGGTATCAAATGTTATGTTAGAATTGAACGGGCATGTGTGCTTAGTCACTTTACATTCCTAGCATCTTAGCAGTACGTAAATGACTTTCATAAAATGGCAATACATGCAGATGGGGCAAAATCAGTAAAGTTTATTTTTAGATAAAAGAATGGATTCACTTGAGATCAACCTGTAGTTTAATTGACATGTACAAGAGGGCAAGAATAGCACCGAAGTGGCGCATACCTTGTAAGATATGAGCCAACCCACATGGCTACAGAGCAACTAGAAGAACCAGGTTGCTGCTGCGTTTTCCCAAAAGCTAGCTGGCAAATGAAATGCACAAGGTAAGTAAAATACCACTTCTGCCTCCTAATACCCAAGCAAGCATGTAACCTGTTTTGTATCTAGCATCCAACTTTTGGTCAAGCAAGGCCATAAAGTTACTAAATGTCAAAGATAGTCGAATGCCTGCTGTGTACATTAGGAAAGAGAGAAATGATGACATAAGCACTTCACGAAAGGGCCGTCTTTCTTTGTCATGAGTTTTTTCATCAGTAAAGCTATCTAACGTCAAGTTTAGGACATTCCACAAACAGAGGCAAATCCAAGTTCTGTACAGTTCTAAATGTTCTAGAAACCATCTTGTCAACATACATAGTTCCGTCCAAGTGATCACACTCGTGCTGTAATATGCGTGCTTTCCACAACTGGTCTGAACCCATCAACATTTAAACAACCTTAAAAAAACAACGCGTATTGTTTCCTTTCTTTACCAGTTTTGGATTGATAATGACCAGTAGATCAAAAGGACGTCTATAATGAAAAAAATAATAATAATTTTCAAGCACATTATGAACAAAAAGAATAATTTTCTCAAACATTATAGTGAAACAAAAGTTTCAAACAAATAACATTAGATATCAATCAAGCATAAAATTTAAAAGAACAAAATCAGATTTAAAACCCTAAACCACAATAAGGAAAAAGGGGGAAATATTGTCTAATGAATTAGGGTTAAGGAGCCTAAACCACAATAATGAAAAAGAGGGGAAATGTCGTCTAATGACTTAGGGTTAAGGAGGTTGAATTGAAAGAAGATGAAGGGTAAATGAATACCATCGGCGGCAATTAACCAGGTCGGAGATCGATCATCCATGTCGGACTCGCTAGCGGGTGGTTGGCCTTGTAACTTCCAAGTCGTTGCGAAGACTCCAGGCGGCGATGGCTAAACAATCTGCAGCGCTCCCGATTCAATCATGAGAAACCACATAGACAAATTAAATGGCTTGTGATTGTTAAATGGGGAGGAGAAGGATTGGAATGAAGAAATGAAGAAGAAAGAAAGGAGAAAGAGGGTACGGGAGAAAGGAGAAATGGCACAGAGAAGAAAGAGTTGAATGAGAGAAGGGGGAGAGAAAAAGGGTAAAAAATTAAAAGTGGAATGATAAAAACTAAAACCATTTATATAGTGTGTACAATATGTGTACACTTGATGTACACTAAGCATTTTCGATAAGATTAAAACAATCAAATATGCTAGGGTACATAAAGTGTACACAAATTGTCCACTTTTATCTTTTACCCATTCCCCCCGCCCCCCCCCCCCCCCCCTCTCTCTCTCCCTCTTAGCCACTCCCTCCCCTCGTTCCTTTTTCTGCCAGCACTCACCTTGTTCCCTTCTTTCTCCTTTTTTTTTTCATTTTCAATCCTTCTCGGCTTCTCCCATGTGACATCTAAACCATTTTCAATCCTTCTTCTCATGTAGTTCTCATATGTGATCTGTTGTTCTATATGGTTGACCATTCTTTTCAAATAATGAGGTAATATCCATTTCTTTTTTTTCTTGTGTGCTTTGCTTTTTTATATATTTATTCCGATTTTATGTATATCAGGTATGTTATAACCTTGAATAGTTGATTAATTTGTTTAATTGCAAGAGATTTGAAGTGTTAATTGTTGAAATTTTAGGATAATTGCTTTAGTTCATTTATGCACATAATGTGTTTGTTGAAATGACTCAATGAACTTTTTCTTCAAATTCATGATTTTGTTCTTGTTTTTGTCAATGTACATTAGTGTATAATGAATTTTAGACTCTATAATTTCTGTTATCCAATTTGCCCATGATATACTCCGTAGTAATTTTTGATTGGCTATTCTTTGATTATTATGAATTTGCTAGACGTTTTTACTTATAGGGATACATTTCTTTCAAAGTTTTCAGATTTTATGTATGTTATTATAGTGTTAAATGTTTGGTATGATTTTCTTTCATGTGCGAAAAATATTAGGATGCTTTTTATTATGTTCACAGAACGAGTTCAATTTGTTTTCTACTTTGTTGGCCAAGAACTTGTGTATGAGCTGATACTGTGAAGGGTAAATTTTTTTATTTTTAATCCTCAATTTTCTAAAATTTGTAGACTTCCCTCCTTCCAATGTTCATTGTATATATCTTCATAGACTATGTTCATAAATGATCTTCATTATATAGATCATTATATGAATTTTTATTTTTATTTTCCCTGCCCATAACTGGCACACTAGCACAATAGATAACTTGGAATTACTGAAACAACAAAAACATAGAAACTGTATTTGCAGGGTCTATATTATTGGTGGCCACCCACAATTGTTTAAGCTGCATGTCCCATTTTCTATTCCAACTTCTAGGAATAAAGTTGAAGTTTTGAACATCAAATGGCTAAATATATTGTTGAAGTTTTCTATGTGATATATATATATATATATATATATATATATATATATATATATATATATATATATATATTGGTTCAGGTGAGAAATGCATCTAATGTGAGAAATGAGAATGAATCTCAGCCATTGGATTTACGAAGTTGCACTAAAATTGGCTTTATGTTGCAGTAATATTTAAATTTTGCACATGTTGCACTAAAACTGTTTCTTGTTGCACTAATATTTGACGGCGTTGCACCGAAATAGCTTCATGTTGCACTAGACACGTGTAATACGGATTTTTCAGAAGTATTTACAGAAATGCCACCGTGCTAGATTGCATATTTTAGTGCATCATGAAGTGTCTTTTAATGCAACTTAGTCGAATCCAATGGCTGAGATTCATTCTCATTTCTCACCCAAAGGGTTCTTCTCACTTGAACCTTACCCTATATATATATATATATATATATATATATATATATATATATATATACACACACACACAGGATTTAAATTATTCACATTTGTTTGTATCGAAATGATATGTTTTTAAATGATGGTTAAGCATTATTTATTCTATACTTTTCCGTGATGCTTCTTTTGTCTAATAGGTTTACTATGATAAGGGCATCTTCTTGTATGCAAATTTATTTTTCAGATTTTATTTTCTATACAAGATCTTTTTCATTCTCTAAGATCAAATAGTGAAATGTAGTGTCCTATAACGCCTTGTCATGTCTTGAGTTTGCGGATATTTATTACAAAAAGTTCATGGGTTACACCAAAACTCTTTGATGAATGTTCTATCACAAACTTTTTAGTTTGCCTCTGCGTCAACATCAAACAATTTGACTCTTTACATTACAATTAATTACTTCGTAATGTTTAATTTTTCAGGAAACATGTACCTCAAGCCTAGTAATACCTGAGCAACTACACAAAAAATCTTCACGAGGAAGCTTTGGTGTAGATAATATGTATAGGTTTCAGTTATATTTTGTAACTAGTATGACAGTCATGACACTGCCTTTGAGTACACAAGGGATTTGAGTTCCAAGTGAAAATATATTTATGGTGTAGGATTTCTTTTGATAAGCATAAAGATTCAAAGTTAATCGATATAAAAGTATATAGTTACCATAAAGTTTACATAAAGTTTAAATATAATATATTTAATGTTAACTTATGAAGTGCCTGATCGCAGATAATGATCACTACAACGAGTTAATGGGCTAAGTGAAATTGCCTGTGAACCGACATGAAATGTCAAGTCATAGGTAATAGTCACTAGAACGGATTCATATGCAAAGTGAAACTGTCTGTAAACAAGATGTGAAGTGTCTGGTCACATACAATAGTCATTAGATTGGATTAATGTTAAAGTGAAATTGTCTGTGAACCAGACATGAAGTGTCTAGTCACAGACTATTGTCTGTGAACAGGCTAATTGGCTAAGTGAAGTTGTCTGTGACCAGACACTTTATATCAGGTTCACAGACATTTTCATTTGGCACATTAGCCTATTCCATTTGCCATTGTCGGTAACCAGACTCTTGGATATTTTAATTTTTTTTGGATGAAAAGTGTATCATAAAAATGAAAAGTTCAGTTCGGCAAAGTCATCACATAAAAATTTCAAGTGTGTTGCTGAAAATTGACTTATTTTACAATCTTTCAGAGTTGCTTCTGCCAGGAGTCCGGGACTACACGAATCAACTTACATTACTTGAAATAAAAAACAAAAATTCCTTTCCGTCAAAACATAAAAACATACACAAATCGTATTGAAGCTTTTAACAAGCAATTTAATTCTTCAAAGCGGATGGAATCAAATATTAAGGATGTTACAGATGTTGTAGACCTTGACCTTATTTGGTGACATATTGGATTCATTTGAGGAAAATTCATTTGTTGGAGTGTTGATTGCTTTATGTAATCAGACTTTGACTTAAGATATTGACATATTGGTCATGCATATTGGTTAAGGCCGTTATTTTGGTTTATTGCATCTTAGGAGGATATGTCTTCATTTTGGTTTATTAGTCTCATTTCTTTAATTGTTGGATGGTTTTTATATCCTATTAGGTGAAAATTGTTTAGTCTTCCATATTATTTTTTATCCTTACTCTCTTAAAGATTACATACCTCATTCAATAAAATGCTCAAAGACATGCTCAATGAACGCTTGAAGTCAACTATTTTTTTAGAAAGAAAATTCATTTTTTTGTGTTAAGTGACTAGTGGTGGTTTGTGCCAAACATAGTGGGACGGAGGTAGTATCATATTCCCTCTGTTTATTATGTTTGGGACAAGGGACATGGAACATAAATCAAGGGAAAATATACAATTATGAGGTTGCACTGGCCTAGATCCCTCTTTCAAAATTCTAATCTGAGTATGTATGATTGACATATAAATCATTTTCAAATTAATAATCTTAGAAACATCTGACGTATAAAAAAGAAGTTGAGTTATTACATAGCACTTTGCAAGTTCAAATAAAACTAAGTTCATAGATACAATTAGGAGAATCCAAACCGTTCATGTAATATGTACTTACATAATTGACTGTGTATACAACAACAAACACTTTTGTTGCATTGCGATTCAAGTATTCAACTACAACCCAAAATTAAAAATATAATGGATAGAGCAAAATATCAACATTTTTTCCTTTTACCTATTCGCATTGCAATTAGGAAGAGGAGCGATACTGAGCCGACAACCATTGGCCATGATCTCAGTTCCTTTGATTTGCAATGACACAGCCATGACTTTCTTAAACACTAATCTACATTAACAAAAACGAGAATAAAATTATGAATTTGAACAAAAAAGTCATTGAGTAATTTCAACAAAAATGTTATGGGCATAAATGAACTAGAGTAATTACCCTAAAATTTCAGGAATAAAGGCCTCTTATCTCTTATAATAAAACAAATTTAGCATTGATTCAAGGTTATTTTATACCCAATATACATAAAATCAGAACAAATATATAAAAAAAGTAAAACACACAATATTGATATCTCTTACAAATATACTCCGTATATTTTATAAAAGAAAAAAAATCAGAGTTAAATCCCTAATTAGCAATAACGAAACAAGGGAAATTTATTATCTAGCGAGTTAGGGTTAAGGAGATTGGATTGAAGGAAGATGAAGGGAAAATGAATACCATTTGGCAATGGAAACGAACAGTCGAATCTGGCTTTGTCGACGACGTCTTCCGTCTTCTATAACAAGACCTGGGCCCAGCTTCTCCTCTGTCTCTTCTATAAGAGTGCAACCTTCTCGTACTTGATCAATGACTAGAGCTGAATCAGAAAGATACAAAAAGAAAAAGAGAAATATAAGAGATAAGAGATTACTGAGGAGGGGGGGGGGGATTCGAAAAACTAGAAGGAGGGGAGGATTTTTTTGTAGAAGGGGAGGCTTCAAATGAGAGTGAGAAAGGGGTGAAAGGAAAAGGGGAGAAAAGTGAATGGTAAAAGGCAAAGGTAAAAAAGCTATATATAGCATGTACAATATGTGTATAACATGTGTACATATAGCATTTTTGTAAAACAATAGCACAGAACTTAAATAGGAGTCAACACTTTTTTCACTCTTAAATAAGACTACTTTCATGTTAAGGGACAAAAATGCCCCCACCTTCACAGAAGCGTGCTGCAGAAAGAAAAAATAACTCTACTTTAATTATAACAAAGATTCCTCCGTTGGCTGTCACTATCCGCCGCTGACTGCCGCCAGACCTCCGCCAACCGCCGCCGACTGCCGCCGGACCTTCGCCGACTGCTGCCTGACCTCCGCCGACCGCCGCCATACCTCCGCCGAACCTATGAAGATCTCCACCACCCGTTCTCCTCCGGTAACCTCCGCTGCAGGTCCT